GCTTTCTTGTAAAAATCTTAAATAAATATCAAAATCAATTAGTTGCGTAAATTTCAATTCGAAAATTCGTTTTGTAAATAGCTGAAAGATACCAATATATATAGTTTTATTGCTACATTTATCAGAAATGTGAAAGCTCGGCATCTCTACATCTCAGCCACAGATAAACTGTCCCAATAAATAATCTCAATAACCTGAATCAATCATTTTGTTAAACAAATGAATATCATTAAGAAAATCTGATTAATTTATGTTACCATCTCTTAAAATATTCTATAAATAGCGAACGGGATTTTCTCACATTTTCTAATATTTTCCAACTAATTTAGCACCCTCTCTTCAAGTCATAAAATTGCAGTCGAAATGGAAATGCATAAACCAATGCCAGACCACAAATTACCGAATTAAATCTACTAAAATATTGTGCATATATATTTTTATATATACATATATGTGTTTAGATGTAAATTTGTAGCTTTTCGACTTTTGCCTTCTGGCTAGAGGAGAATTTCAATGAAGCATCTCTCACATCTCCCGGCTCTGGCTCTTGTTAATAATTTATGGCCCTGTGGCTAATGGCCAAATTGACCATAACAATAATTTGCATGCAAGCGCTTCCAACTTTGACTAATTTCTTTTGGCCGGCAAACAGAAATCTTATCGATATTCCGGCTGCTGCCATATATCACTCAGTATCAATATCAATATCAATATCGATACGCGACCAGAAAGAAAAGAATCGAAAAACAATTTACAACAATTGCTTAATTGAAACGCCAGGGCCACTGTAGAATTTAAATTTATGAAAGCATCAGAGCCCCAAAATCGAACGAAATCATAAATAAATCGGGGCTTATCAGCGCGTTTTTCGTTTGTGGCACTTTGTGGCATTTCAAAGTGGAAATGCCGCTCCCTAACGAAAAAAACTATATATATTTGGAGAGTGGACAACACACATGACTCCTGATACCGATCCGGATTCGGATTCGGATTCGGATTCGGATCGGATGCCTCGCTGACAGATGAACTTTGTACGCCACAAATCAAGTGACTTTATTTTTTGTTCATCGAAAATAATAGGAATATTTTTAAAGGGCCATCAAATAGGTCAAGTTTTCTCTGGTATACACATATATTTCATATTTAAATGTATTTACTTTGGTTTGGTAAACTGAACTTGATGTTAAAACTAGAAGTATTTCAGTTGGTATTCAATTTAATTTCACCTAAGAAAATATTATATTTGTTGTAACTTGTATAAGTATCTTTTTATCAAATAAATAAATTAATAGTTTAGTCAACTTTAGTATGTAGTGTTTAAAGAACCTTAAACGCGTTAAAAATCACTTTAAAACTCTATTAAAAATACAAATAGATTGCTATATTTTCCAATTTACTTCTCAGGCAACATAACCCACAATTTCCAAAGGCTTCCCACACTTTTTCTCAGTGCAACCTCTAGGTAGAAATGAAGTTTCGCCATTAGCATATCCAAGCCACATATGGCTGGCAAATGTAGGAACAACTCGACTCGGATCCAGACAATAGACCTGCGGGACATGGGACAGGATTTGTGTGTGTTTTCGTACTTCCCCCAACGTTTTATACCATTTTTTTCGTAGGCGTAACATGTGTGGCATAAACAAAGATACAAAGATACAAAACGGACAGAAAATATCAACCGATATTTTTGTGTGCAAAGACCGAAGGAAGGCGTGAAACTGTTGATAGTCTATTGCACTTTTTTCCAACGTTTCCAACGTTTCCCGTTTCTGTTATTCTTTTTTATGGCCATGCAATAAAAATATTTACGATGCCAAAGCGCCAAATATGTAGGAAAATTGTTACGAGAGGGTTAATAAAATGTTGCACTTGTAGCAAGAAAATTAAAGTGGCTGGAAATGGTAGGGAAGGAAGGTGGAAAGCGATTTAAAACTGCACTGATTTAAAAATTTAGAAATAAAAGTTTACACGAAACTTAAAGCTTGCTTTGCACTTTTGAATACCATTGAATTTTCCAACTAATCTCCCCTGGTCAGGTTTGATTTCCCCCTGGTCCGAGTCCAAGAAAATCAAATGAGTTGAACAACAACAAAAAGAATTCAAATGAGCAGAAGGAAATGGGGGAAATTCGTAGAGGGTCGAAGAGGAGCAGCGGGTGGAAAACCAATGAACTCTTGGTATGCTGCAGATGCAACTGCATTCTGCATTTTCCCCGCTTTTCTCCATTCGGAACATTCTGCACTCTCGGCCTCTCAGCAGACGCTTTCAAAATAGCCCGAGCCAACCCACACGGCATTCCCACCTCCCGCTTTTCCGAGTTTCCGCCTGATTTCCCACCTCCCAGCAAAGTGCAGGCGGCTGGCTGCAATCAACGCACTTGTTCCTGTTTTTCTTAGCTTCATCGTGGATCGTGGAACTGCTGCTTGTTATTGTTGTAAACTATTTATGCATTTCGAAGTTTATTTGAAACACGAACAGCAACACAGCCCAAGAATTCCCTGCATGGCATTCCGAATGTTCGAATGTTGCTCGAGATTCCTATTCCCAATCCCAACGCTTCTTGGCTTTTGCTGTTTGTTGATTTTATGAACTGTTTTTCTTGCTTCACTTGCTCTCAGTCGGGTGCCCTCCGGCCACATATGGTCACCTTAATTTTCCCGGAGGCAGGACCAAGGAGGGGGCGGTGAACGGTGAGCGTTTTTGTTGCATCAAATAATTTATGCCTTTCTCCCTGGGCTCTTGGTTTATTTTTCCAAGCGCATTTCAACAGCCAAAGCAATCAGCGCGTGTTGTTTTTTCGGGCAGGAAACAGCACGAAGGGATGTCGGATGATGTACCATCACTACCACCACCACCACCACCACCGCAGCCACTCCAACCTTATCCACTCCCAGCACACGGCCCACTCAACGGGTGGTTCCACTGTGCGTTCCAGTGGAGCGTGATCCGCCTTAGGTGGATACCCACTGTTGTTTACATTGACGCCATTGCCGACGTGCCAGAAAAGTTGAGTTCAATTCCATTGAATTGACTTCGAATCGATTCAGAGAGGTGCAAACTGATTTTACCGAAAACGATTCACCTATAACAATATTTCTTTATCAAATTATTTAACTGAATCAATTTAAAGTATATAATTTAACTCTTACCTTTACAAAACTATATGAAATTTATAAGGATTTGATAAGAAAGGGTTTAAGAAACCAAACCTCTTAAAGGGTTTTAACTCCATTTCTAGAAGGATTAGATTACTAATTCTTTTGGTTATATAATAAGCTTTCTCTGCAATAAATTTCGTTAAATTATTACCTTCTTGTTAAACCTTTCTAAAGGAATTCCTAAGAATCAAAATATCATAACCATTCAGCTTTCAAGACATAACTCATCCCCCGTTGCACTGGCATTTCTAATGAACTTTGCCTTCGCCTGAAGGCACAGTGAATATAGACAGAAAATGCTATATGTATACAACCCCAAGATATCGAGAATATGAAAATATCTTTGGAAAATTGATTGACTGCTCGACATGATCGACGTGATCAATGCGTTGAGGGAGTGGCCAAAAGAGGGGAAAATGCCTGCCTGCCTGCCGTCTACAATTATAATTCAATTAACTGAATAATCCCATCTTTGCCCCAACGCAGTCGAGCGCCACATGCTGCGAAGGGAGACGTTGCATGCTCGGCATATTAAATTAGTTATTTGTAAATTTCAAACAAAAGCGTTGTAAACAAAAACTGAACAAAAAAAGACACGAAGATCGGGCGAACGGATTGAGAATTATGATGATGATGAATCAATGTGTGTATTTATGGAAATATTCTCATGTTTTAATTGCATGCGAGAACATTTCGAAATGTCTCGCATAACAAATGAGCCTCTGAACAATAAAACTTGATTTATAAAAACCATAAAAATAAAAATAAATATATTATCAATGCCAACTAGACTGTAAGGACATTTTGCTTTAAGGCAGCCAAAGGGAAATCCGAGAGAATGATGGATTGGGGAAAAAAAGAAAACTGGGGGAAACTTGGCAACTCAACTGCCGGCTAAAGCAGAAAGAAGTCAACAGCTCGTTAACGTTAAAGTGGCAAGAGATATGCCCAAAGAATCTGATTCAGCCATCTCTCTCTCTCTTTCTTAGCCATTCTCCCTTGCCACATTCTCATATTCTCAGATTCTCCGTTCAAAAGGGTAAGCCAACAATCGCGTCTGAAGATGCATCGCCCACGGCATCAAAAACGAGAAAACCAGGCTCAGGCCAAAACATGGCTAATACACAGAGGGAAAAATTAAACAAATTTAAACTAAGGTTTATTCTAATCAATATTAAAATAATAGTGGTTATTAAAATGTGCTAAGTGTGTTTGAATCGCTCTAAGGACATGTCCATCTCTTTTAGCTCCCTATATGCTGTTCTTAATTAATTAAAATCGATTTGTAATCACCAATTGATGTTTGCAATTCATTTCTCTCTGTGTACCAAGAGCTGGCTCGTTTTGAAGAGCAAAAATTGGCGTTGAAAAGTAACTGCCGACAACCGCAGACGAAGATGAAGACGAGGACGAGGTTGATGATGCTGAATGCTGCCTGCGAACTACTAGGAGGTTCCTGCTCCTTGAGCTCTGAGTTTTGAGCTCTGAGCTCTCTGCTCCTTAGTCAATTGCACTGGCTGCCATCACAGGGTCGCCTTGCCCCAGCATTTTTCTCTCCATTGTGCGGCAAACTAAGCGCAATGAAGTAGCCAAGGGGCAAAGTGTTTGGCGGGGGAAAGGTCAAGTTTTCTAGCCTCTTATTTATATTTACGTCTATGCAAAAAAAGGGGGGAAGCTGCCACAAAATAAAGTAGAGTCTATAAATTCTACAAAAGAAATATATATCTTATTAAAGACTACCAATCAAACGAATAGGGAATTTCCTAATGACACATCCATCTATTATTTTCTTTGGCATCTAAATTACAATAAAATTCATCATAAAGTTTCTCCACTTACCATTTTTTCCATTCCGTTGGTTGAGCTGCTTTCGGGCTTAAATTTCCTGTCTGTTGTCTGTAATGAGATGCAAAAAGAGGTACGAAAACGACTGATAAGTTATCTGATAAGTGACGACTTTAAAGGGGGGCCATAAAAACTTAAACCAAGCAACTACCATAAACCGAAATCCCCCAATGGAGATCTCGGTCATCTCTCTGCAAAATCTCGTTTATCGTAAAAGGGGTCGTAAAAAATGTTTATAAATCTCGTATAATTAGAAAATATTAAAAGCCAAATAACTTAATTATGCAATGAGCATAAAACTGGATTTATGCCCGATGGCGAGAAAGGAAATTTGGCTGGAAAAAATGCGGTCTTACTTGGCGACATAACTTACGCTCTGAGCCAAAAAGAGTTGCCACAATTTGCGGCCTGAGTTATGTTCTTTGGGTCCCCGGCAAATATGTTAATATTTGGCCAGTAAATTTGTGGGCGGCTAAAGAACAATTGCAGTTGTCTCTGCGGCAGCACTTCAAAGGGGGAAAGCCCCCGAAAGAAAAACAGAGGCAGCGGCTACCCGGAAAACAAACAGGAAAAGGGGGGCGGGGGGCAAAAGTGCGGTGGAAAATGGAAAATGGAAAATGGGTAGTGGCCGGGGAGTTGTTTGTATCCCTGGGCCTAGCCGAAAGTGGACTACTTTAATCACGCCACGGGATTAAGGGGCCAGACATTCGCCGGATGATGAAGAAGTCGCGTGTGTGTGCCAATGGAAGCCAAGAAGAAGCAACTCGCTTACAATTTAATTAACTTTTCCCTCCCCCTTCTCCTCTACTCTCTCTTTATTTTATTTTACTTTTTTCCTATTAAAGAACGCGCCTTGTTGTTGTTTGCTTTAACGGCACTCTTTGTACATATGTATATATAATGCAAGTTTAATCAGCCAGCGACAAATAAAGTGCCGCAGAAGAGGTTGCCCCTGTATCCGTATCTGTATCTGTTTCTGTTGCTGTTCCTGTATCTGTATCTGCAGGCAGGCGTGGGTGTGCTCTGCAAAAGATTTGCCTAACCAAAGAGAACTCAGATAAGTCTGAGGAGTCACAATGCAGTGTTCTATTCTTGCCGCCTTTGATTCATGCCATATATGTTATGTATCTATCTCTGTGTACCCTCTCCCTCTCGACTCACAATTTGCCAGGTGTAATCTCTGCTGTAACAAATTGCAGATAAAGTTAAGCAAACGACAAGAAAATGACAATTTTTTAATTATAACCCCTTGCTGGTGGCTGGTGAGCTTGCCTAATTGAGATAAAACACGAGATTATAGCGAAATATGTGGCAAAGACGGGATGTTTTCTTCGTAATTGAATTCTTGGTTTCAGATGGGGAATTTCCCAATCTCTACGGGTAGGGAGTATTTATAAATCATTATTATATGCTTATGAAGCCACACATCTCTTCTCTATTCATAATTCTCATTAAATCTACACTTGTCATTATAAATCTCTGTATTCAGAAATCTGGTAAATTATGCTTTACTCAATTTAAGAACAAAACCAATTCTAAGAAAATTCCAATTTGAATGCGACTTCGAAGTTATAAATCTGCGACACACAAATACATTTGAATAAACTTCTTAGAAATTCGAAGAACCTGCTGTATCAAGATTGAGAATCTCAGAGTTTCTGAGTTTTTTGAGAGAGTCTCAAGACTCGTTTGATTCGCTTTTCTGTCTCTGACTAATTAACTGGGAAAGATTCAGAGTGGAGTGGAATTGGAATTTGTAGGCCAATTAATTAGGCGCATAATTTATGGCAAAATATACCCACTGTCTCGCTCTCCCCCAGCGAATGTCAACTTGACAATCAATAAAAGAATAAAAGAGGCACTTGGGAAAAGGGGAGGGGCGAAACGTATCAGTTTCCAAAATGTTTAATTTATGACATTGCAAAAAAAAAAAGCAAATTTATGAGCGAGCATTTAAATGCCCAACACGACGAGCGACTACAATGAATATGTATTGTGTGCGGAGTATCGTTTCTGTTTTCAAAATTGAAATTCCAATGAATCTCAAGGAGCAGAACCCCCTTCGAGCCTCCGGCTCCTGGATCCCTTGAATCATCTCGCCGAGAAAGCAAATATCGCCATCGTCATGGCTGTTTGCAGGAAACAACAGTCAGTCGCAGGCGCAGACCTTAAACAAACAGAAATTAATTATGTTTCGATGCGAGAGCCCAAAAAAGATACTGCTACAGAGAGAGAAAAATATTGCAGATCCTTTGTATTCCATTATATTAAAATTCATAGCACTTGTATTTATTTATATGCTTACTAATTAAACATTTATTAATTAATTTATAGATCATTAAAGCTTTGTGAAAAACTTATTTCTAAATCTATATTGATTTCATATTTATTAAATATGTATATATATCCAAAATATAACAGGAATTGTAGAACGATTTTAGAACTTCAAATATTTTTAATAGATCTTCCTTTAAACGATCGGTTTAGTGACTTGCTAGACCTTTTTTCCTTTAAAGTGTAAGTGAGAATTGACTTTCCTTGCACATCCCATTGTTCTCACTGCACATTCAATAGAGAGAGAGAGGGAGAGAGAGGTGTAGCACAAGGAAGATACAAAGATACAAAGATACAAGAGAACCTGATGCTGCCTGATGCTGGCTGAAAATAAAATTATTTTGTTCAGAGTTCTGTTTATAAGAAAAATATGTTTTTGTTTGTTTTAACGCGAGCCGAGCGCTTCCTTTTCACTTGGACAGGAGGGACAGGAAGAGAGACGGATACTGAAACATGTGCGTAGATGCATCCCAGAGATGCGTATCTGTGGGATACATGCAACACAGCAACAGTTCTTCTATTTTTGGTACTATTTCAATTAATTTGCTGCCTCCGAACAAAGTTGCATCTGCGCGGGGCAAGATGAGGAATATTTATGACTAATATTGCATGCCCGATCGCCGTCGAGGAGTTTGAGATTTTTTTGCCTGACTTTTAATTAGCTTGACATTTATTTCGTGCCGTTCGGACCGTCGTCTGTCTGCGGTTTTTGTTTAAGGGGTTAACAGCGCGTAGATTGATATCTTCAAGTTCATTAGAGTTGCAAGTTGCTTTAATTGGAAATATGCACAGCGGTCCGACGAAGTCGTCGTGCAACACTTGGGTGAGAATTAATGATGCCTGCCCAACCCATCTCCTAAGCAGCGAGAAGCCCTTCCTGCCGCGGATCTCGATCTGAATTCTGTTTAAACTTGGGCATTTTTATACACTCCACTCTCCTCCTCGTTTATATCTTTCTTGGTTTCTTTTTCCGCGGCTTCCCTGTCCCTTACTTCACTTTGCATCCTCCTCAACGGCCTCTGTTTATCTTTGGGCTTTTGTTAACTGATTTCAAGGGAAGCTCCAGCAACAGCCGCCCTCCTACAGGGTCGTTTTAATTAACTGCTTTCTTTATAAGGCATATTAAATAAGTTTCATTTCGGGCTTGTTTTTGTCCAACTCTGTGGAAAAGGAAGTGCTAGGGGTAAGTTTCTAAGATGGTCTCGTAATCAAAATCTAAGGAATTAGCTTTACTAATTTAAAGCAGAATATGATACCTTTTTATTTAATTTATAAAGAATACATTTAGACTTGCAATAAATACCTATACCATAAAATATTAAAACTTGTTAAAGAAACCAATCAGGTTAAGTTTCCATGACCCTTAAATTATTCACTTGTTTCTCCAACTTCTTCTCTCAATTTTCCCGAAAACCACCTACACTCTGCCCGCATGTTTCTTGTTCATTTAAATGGGATATTTTATTTTAGAACCATGTTTGTGAACTATTTGTTCCTTGGGAGTGAACATTGAGGAACTGGGGGACAAAATTAACACCTAGTCGCTACATTTCCAGCTAAAACCCACACACACACTTGGCAGCTGGAAAAGATCCCCCCGCATCCCGTCATAAGTCAGGGCTCTAACAAGGTGTCGTCTTGCTAAATGAATTAGACTCAAAGCGAACGAATAGACAGAAATAAGTGTTTCTATATCTTGTGTTCTCCCACATATGTATCTAAATAAATGTGTGACTTTGCCATTAGATTTATAACTGACACTTTTAGTTTTTCTCCGGATAAAATGCAAATTGCTCCAACCAGGCGTATGATCAATATTTACATTGTCAATTAGCATATTAAACGTATTTTCCTGGAGAGAACTTGTTTTCTTGGCTCTTTATTTTCGGTTCTAAAACGAAATAAATTTCTAGTTAAAATTGCCCAATGCTGAAGTTGGAAGCCTAGGTAGGAAGGTATAAAGGTGTATCTATGTCGATTTCACTTCTGTATGGGTGCGTATCTGTGTGTCAGTGTGCAGTCTGCCTTGTGTTCTTCTATTACCGTAATTTTCTACTTGATTTCTGACGCTCATAAATCATCATCAGGTCTCCCTCAGATAGCGTCGTCGTCGTCGTTTGCCTTTGTCATTTCTCATGGTTATTGTTGTTAGAGGTAGTCGTCGATTTTAGAGTGTGTTGCTGTAGTTTCTGTTGATTTTTATGGAATTTATCTCTCCAACAACAACAACAACAACAACAACACAAGCCGAAGCGCACATTTAGCGACACAGTTAGCGAGGCGACTCGAAGCCAAGCAACAAGTTTCGACTTTTTGTTTGATGTATCTGCCAGATACGAGAGGTGAAAAATTGATAGCTTGCTCGCCTGTCTAACCAAACTATGCATAATAAATGCTTTTCGTAAACAATCGACAAAAATTCAAACAAAAAATATATAAAAGGAAACGAGAAACAATAAATTTATTGAAAAATCATAAAAGATAAATCGGTCTGGGGAGTCGAGAGATAATTTTTTGGTTTTTGCTTGCTTTAAACCTTTGAAATATGTATATGTAAAGATAAACAGATAAATAAATAAGTAAGTGCCATTAAAAGTCAATTTCTGGCCTTATTGTTGGCCAAAGACAAATAGTTTGAAGGCATGCTAAAATAATAATAATAAAAGTACGGGGATCTAAGGTGCCGAACGCTGCTCTTTTTTCGTTTCTTCAGTTGTTTTTTGGTGATTTTTCATTTAAAAACAAATAATCGTTTTTCGGTTAGGAAGAGGCGTCCGTGTTGGCTAATTGCCGGGCCAATTCCAACGAGCCATGTGTGTGCCCCACGGGTCCAGCTCATAAATAATCAAAACCTAATAGCCGGCAAACAAAATATTCAAAACAAACACACCAAAAAATAAAACCTGGTCTGCTCCAAAGAAAGCGACGAAGAAACCAACCGAATGAACAAAAGAGAAAGAAAAAATTATGATCCATGGCAATCATGTCAAATTGATTTCGGTTTTCCTCCACTAACCACAATGGGGAAAAAGCGGGGAAAAGTGAGAGAGCCTCAAGCCTAATAATACCACTGAATGGGGGAAAATTGAAGGAGCTGCAAAATAAATCAAATAAAACGATCCAAACCAAAACACAAGAGCACACTGGAAAACTTATACCAAGAGAATTTGTGAATTTTTAATGCATTTTTTAACTTAACTAAACATGAAACAAGACAAACCTTGTAAAGAATAAACTAAGCAACAAAGATATATCTGCAAATCAATTTTTAATGTAAAAATTAAGCTTGCAGATAGACACTGAATATTATAAAGTATTTTATTTTCTAATTTTATAATATTTTTGTAATATATTTATATTTTTATTTATACATTTCAATGTGTTAAGTTCAGGGGAAGTTATTTCTTTCCGTGTCTCAAGACACAGAAGAAGGCCAACACATTCTGGCCCGCAGTTTGATGAATTGCAGCACGGGTTCCGAGTTGACTTGGCCAGTTTGATGGACGACTCCGAGACCTGCTTTCGGCCCACTCCGAGCCACCACAAGTCCCGTCCTCAACTCTGCCTCGAAAATTAATCAATATGTTGTTGTTATTTAAACAAGCAATGTGCGAGGAAAAGAGAGTGCAACCATAAGGGAAACGTTTTTATAATTACGAGGGTCGTTGCTCAGGTTGTCCGTAAATTATCGGTTTGCCCATTGGAGGAGTTGCCCGGGCCTCAACATGATTAGACCCGGGCAGACGATACCCGCAATGAGACAATTGTGGGTTTTATAATTATAACAAGATCGGTAAATGATCATGGGATCACATAATGCCACTCTGCCCTGGGGGTAATTTACAGTCGGAGGTGGAACAGGCAAAAGGTGGAACTGAAAGTCACATCCATAATAAAGATATTCTCAATAGACTTGGAATTATATATGACATTGAAAGTACTAAATATTGGTTATTGATTCTCAAAAGGGATATTGAATTCTCTTGACTCTTCAATTCAATTTCAATTAGAATACTGTTAAGCAAAGTAAAATACTATGTTCTTGTTGCTGTACAGCCATAATAATATCCCAAAACATTCCAATATAGTTTCGCATGTCCATTCCCAGACAGAATCCGACATTAGTATGCACATTAGCGCCTAAGCTGACAGCTCCATCATGGCTGATCAGAAAAAATGGCTAAAAAATGGTTAACAGGATACGAAACTGACAAACCTGCCGCGAGTGACAAGTCAACTGACATCTCCCACTGAATTTAGTGAGTGACTGACTGACTGACTCACTGGCAGAGTGTCAATGCGCTTGTCAATAAATTTTCGCAGCAGCCAATTGCTTTACAAAAAAAAACGAGATAATCCGTTCGCCAACACAATTAAGCTGGAGAAGAGACACCCAACCCAAGAAAAGACATAAAAAATTCAGCAAGAAAATCAAGAGTCTTTGACAAGTGGAAAAAGTCAACGAGAAATTTATAGCCGGGCCCAATGGAGGAGACAAAAAAGCAAAGAGCGACCAAAAACCAAACAAAACATAATTTATGGCCGACTTTCGGGATTCCTTGGATCGGCGGGAACAGCGGGAGCAGGTTGTCAGGAACGTTTGTAAAATGATCACCTGTTCGGAAGACAGGGAGGAGGCGCAAAGAGCGACGGGAAGATGGAGAACCAGACATGCCGGAAAGCTACGGGAGGTCACTGTGCACAGTGGTTCAGGATGTGAAAGGATCGAAAAAGGATCGAGTACATATTTATTTAAATAAACAAAACAAAAATCTTCGGCTCGCTGAAGATTGTATCTCCTTGAGATTGCAATTCGATCATTAATAAATAGTACGATAAATAATAGTAATCCCGACTAGTTTTATTACATTTTCCTATACATATTAACATTTACATTTTTACACTTAGAGTTTTGCAGTTTCCTCCACATTTAATTTCATTAAGTCTGAGGCATAGGTAATGTTATCTATATAGAGTCTACATCTGATATCATGAGGATAATATTTTATGTTATAGAAAAGTTGCCACCGAATCAGATCTTGTTCAAGATACTTCTTGAAATATTTATTTATAAATTCGAATTGTGTTTTAAAAATACCTATACCCTGTATTTTAGCAAAATACTTTCTTATTTTTCTTCCTGCTTTTTCAAGGCATCTTGCCACTGTGCCACAGGCAACACTCAGGGAGTTGCAACCAGCAGAGCCTGGTCAAACAGCAGAGCCTGGCATTTGAGTGTCGCCCCAGCAGGCGGCCAAAAGTCGTTTGCTGTGTGACAAAGCGCAATTTTTCGAATTTTCGAATTGCGAAAGTGCGGGCCAGGCCCGGAGGAGGACGCAGAGCCAGGCACCGCATGGTGTCCCTATGCGTCTCAGTATGTAAATTGATATTTTTTGTTTGCCGATTCTGGCGGACTCTTTGTCGAGGGCCTAACCTTGGCAGCGTCTGCTGTTAACTGAAAATTTAATGAAATCATTTCTCGTCTCAGCGATCCCGAGTCCTTTGCCATGCGAAAAACCAATGGCGGAGTAATAAAAATGAAATAAAATATTTAACGACCCATTGGGAAACCTGTAGACGAAGGTGTCACGTTACGCATAATTTATGACCGCAGAGAAACATAATTTTCCATGAATGTATACAAAAAATATATATAAAAAGAAAGAAAAGTAGAAGAGAGAAAAACTATCTGGGGGAATCTCGAATCTTGCATCTCGAACACGAAACGATCGACATGCAATGGCTTATCTTGATTAGAGATTAAGCCAAAGACTCGGGGACAAACTACGAGGTGTTCCAGGTAGAGGCAACACCTGCAATCTCCGCTCTCGCTCTGCCTATCTATCGGACCCTCTCCCACTTTATTTTCTCTATTTTTTTTCTGATTTTCCTACTCTATCGATAGAGCTCGGTAGTATTTCTGGTAGTCGCTGCCTCGGCAGCCAAAACTTTGACAACAAATAATGAAATAATGTAGATACAAACACACACAGGCATTCCGAGCCCCACTTTTCCCCTTCGGGAGATAAGATTTCAGTTCGTTCAGTCCATTCATTTGACGGCAATATTGATTCGAATGAAATAAACGAAAATTGTCGAAAAAAATAGAACCCAACTGCCGCAATTTTTGTTGTTGAGTAAACAAACAGTGGAGCCGAAACCAGAAATTGAGCAGAGATAAGGTGGCGAGCCAAAAACGAATAAAACGGTAAAAATAACGATGTGTAACTGTTGTTGGGGGTTAAATATTCAATGAGTTTTATTTTTACCCTACGGATTTGTAGTATTTTCAAAGGGATCAACTCAAAAGTTCCCACAAAGATTCACCGAGCTTTACGGTTCATTCATGTTGTTCATTGTATATTAAGAATAGTTCAGTTCAAGTACGAATAAAATGAATATTTTCTTTTAAGAAAACATCAGAAATAATAAATCAATATTTTAAATGATCAAATTTGACAAAAACTCTTGGTTTATTCTAACTAAACACTTGAAAGGTTATAATCTTTTAACTAGCAAAGCTCAATATTGTTGGATTACGTTTTTTTTATATAATCTTTAAACTAAGCCAGTTGGTAGAGTTCTCGTCAACCTGATATCCCAAAATTGTATCTTGTGCGACATTATTTTTTATTACTTAAAATTAGTCTTTTGTTCCCACAAAGATCAGAGCAGCTTAAAATCTATTCAATTAACTTGGGCCAAAGCAATTTCCTCAGAATAATTTCCATATGCTAGAATGCTCCCCCCCTTAGGTGGATCAGTTCTCCCCTTTGCGCACTCATGTAGATATACATATATCCTCCATTGACTGACATATCCCATTATACGGATCTCCCGCAACTGATCTTTTGACTTGCAGTGTAATGGAAGTCCCCATTTTCCCGTGGATGATATTTACCTCGGAGAGATGGTCCAACTTTTCGCTGTTAATCCAAAAAAAGTCTTTGGTGGTAATTAAAAACCGGCGTGCGTCTGTCAAAGTTAATCCAATTTCACGTCTGCTTACATCAAACACTCACACAGGCAACGGCGACACCTGGAGGAGCACTCACACACACTCGTGCAGCGAGCAGCGAGCGAACGAGTATCTGACGGATACCCGCAAACTTTTCGCCGCTGCAAGTGATTTTTACTTTATTTCGGGACAGATTTTTAATTAAAATTTCATGTAGCGCCAAATGTTGTCGCTATCTCAGGTGTTGGGGTGTCGTTGGATGGATGTTTTTCTACAATCTTGCTGTGGGGCTTATTCCCAATCCAATTTTCGAGTTGGCGCTTGTCGATCACCGATCACAGATCGGAATAGCAACAATAGCAACTCGTTTTTATTTTTTCTTCAGCAATTTTTAACACACATTCTCACATGGCACGGCCACAATTTGTATTTTCATAACTCGTTTCTGTCGCTTTTTTCGAGGACGCCACTTGGTGGCTGCTTTATGGAACTTCTTTTTTATTAACGACTATTGTTATTGCCCACAATTAGTGCACAAAGGGAAGCTCTTTATATATACACCACTTTGTTATATATTCATTGATTAATTGGCGTTCGGTAGGTGTAATTAGACGGCGCGATTCTGTATCTTTTGGTGTCTCGAGCGACATAAGTCCGCTGAACCGAACGTTCCGATCGTTGGAAGAGAACTGGAAACTGGAAGGCCCAGTAAGAGCTGCCCTGCTCGCTGCCGAAGAGAATTGTGAGGGAGAGAAATGCCGTGCTGCCTGCTGAGAGAGGTTGAGTGCGGGAGAGAGAGAGAGCCGAGAGACCAAGAGAGCAGATACGTTAAATGCAGCTAAATAAATGTTTTGTTTACGGTCGGGTTTTCTTTGCTGTTTGCTTTGCCCCGCATTTCGTTACTTTTTGCATAAGCTAAATAAATATGGGCAAAGTTTTCATTTTATTGGCTGTATTTGTTTTCCCTGGGCATTTCTAAGGTGATTTTAATGGGCCCGTTATCATCGATGTAAATCTGTTTTACGACTGTAATTTCCTGTTGGTTTAGTTTTGGGCAAATAATTGCAAGACTTCTTTATTTATTTTAATATTTTTTTATCTATTAGGTATTCCGAATAATTACTTGTTTTTAATCCCCATTTTATTTTTGAAACCACTTAAGTACCAAGCTATTAAAATAATTATATGATTCATTTTTTATATTTTTATTAGTGTTATTAGCTCTTGTTCAATAATTCCAAACTGGTTCAGATTTAAACAGCTGTTTAACGTCAAAATCTGATATTTTTGTAGGAATTATAAATATATAATGAAGGCTTGGCAATAACAAAAAGTTAAATTTTTTAACTTAGGTTTTAGGGTTAATATTATTGAGTCATGTTATATCGACCAGAGCTGTAAAATAAATATTTCTGAATAAAAAATAAATAAATTCCTTAACAGCATTATTTCATTGTTTTTATTGTAGTCTTTATAACTTATAAAGTATTTAAGAACTTGGTTAATATTTTATTTTTCTTTTTTAACGCAATCTTTTTCCCAACCCCTGAATAAAACTTCTCTCGCTCTCTCTCTCCCTCTCTTTTGGTGACAAATCTGTGACTAGATTGACTGCTACCGTATCCCCCTCCACCAACACAACCATTCCACCTCCCCTCATCCATGCCTACACCCGGTTCCTGATTTCTCTGCCTCTTCAGGCTGCACATGTGCTGCGTTTCGCATGCCAACCTACCACTACCACCCCCTCCCAAAGGCGCCCTCCCATCCTTCCAGTTTTTCAGAGGCATCTGTTGTTGTCTGGCATATTTTCAGGTTTTCCATTCACTCTCTCTTTCACCGTCCACCGCTCCCAGATTTTCCCAGTGCACCCTGCTGAAATTTCTGCAAGTTCTTCAACTTTCTTCGGGCGGTGGTGGGTAAATACAGGGTGTCTCCTCCCCCTCCCGTTCCCTGGCACTCTCTCTCTGTTGCAATCACGGGAAGCAAGTGAGACAGGCTTTAATTGCAATTCCTTCCTGTTTATATGCTCACCTCGACTCACGCTCTTCGGCCTCGCAATTAACTCTCTCTCTCTCGACCGGTTTCTGGTTTTATCTACTAAGGGTCTTGTTAAAAGTAATTCGTAACACGTTGTTACCAGATAACGCCGTCAGTCCACGAGCTCTGTCTCTCTTGCTCTCTCTCTCTCTCCCTGCCTTCCTCTCCCCGCACCTCTTGTTAACCCTCTTCTTCCGACTCTTCCACCTATTCTTCGGCCACGTTGTTGTTTCTTTTGCCTTGTTAGCGTCACCGGTTGGCTTGCTAAAAGAGCGATAAAAAGGTAGAACACAAAAAAACTTCCATATCCCAGACAGGCTTATGGGAGCGAGATAGAGGGGGAGACACAGAAGAGAGGTAAACACAAGATCGCCTGCAATCCAGGCTCACGTTTTGACTTTTGGCTTTGACTTTGCTTTTATTGTTGCCTGTGCTGCTTTTCTGCTGCGGTTCAATACACCCCGTTCTTTTAGCTGCAGGGTGCCCCTGGAAGATTTCTCCGTCCTCTCTTCCTCGTTCCCTCCCTTGGCCCCACCCCTCCTGTGCTCCTGGCGAGCCGGTTCTCGGCTCTTCAGACCACATGTGGTGCACTGCGGCTGCAAGTATGAGTGATTTTGCCTAGTTAGTTAGGAGGAGCTCCCAGGTATGCCAAAGCAACATAAAAGTAAACAAGAAAGGATGACAAGTTGATCTAGTCGAATCTTCAATACCCTTACGCAAGGTATTTTTTGTCAATGTGTAATTTATTTACTTATCTTGAAAAATATTAAAAGTATATAGAGGTAGAGTTATTATATTAAATTATATTAAAAAATAGACTTCACACTAAAGTAATAGTTGGGAATTATATCGACAAAACGCAGTTAATAATATAGTTATAAATAAATTGTGCCAAAAGCTCTGACATACGAATTAAAAACATCTCTATATTATGCAAAGTTAATAAACAAAACACTAACGTGATCTCATTGTCTCTATCATTATTTATTCCCATTACTATTATAGATCAAAACTTTGTATATTCGAATATTCGAAATACAAATGTATTATATATACTAAATCCATTATTATCTGAGGATGCTCCCATCTTCACTACCTTAAATTAGAGTATTCCAAAAATAAAAGCCTGGCCAGAAGGTGCAGAAAAATCTCATGTTTATATGCATTTCCAGGGGCAGGCGGAGGGGGAGGCACTATACTCAGATCCACGGTCCTACAACAACGACAAAAAGCAAAAACAAGAAAAGCAATAGCAACAACGAGCCGATCGTGCACTTGGGCCGCTAATGAACTTACAATGCATGGCTTGTTCGGATCCCAAAAGAAGAGGAAAATGCAGGATCGCTGGCCGGGGACTTACATATAAACGGAGTCGGGTGGTGGGGGCCAGCGGAAAGCACCCCCACACACAGATGCAGAAAGCCCCGATTAGAGTTATTTGCAAACTGTGAAACATGAACTCGACTCGGACCGTGATTCTTCGTACCCAGCTTCAGCCGCAGCCCGGAGTTGCAACTTGCAACCCGATGATTGACCCACGAAGGAGTTTCTCCTGTTCGTGCCTCAATCAGTTTGTCCACTGGGCAGGGCTCAAATGGTATGCACTTGGGGAAAACATTTGGGAAACATAAAAATTATTCCTAGAAAATATATATTTTAATGTTCTACAGATATCGAACAATATCCAAAGGGATATGTGTATAGATCGTATTGATTTCTACCCAAATATCAAACTAGCATTTGTAATAATATATGCTTTGTATCACAGGATATATGGATACATAGAAAAGGGGTTAATTTTATTATTAAGATTATTCAACTGACTATTTTAATATTCAAATTCTGTGTAGATTATCATCATCACAGCAGTATAAATACACACTTTTCGAACAGTGCACATCCCTCTACCGCTGTCATGATCATGATCAGTAAAACTAACAAGAGGTGTTGCCTCTGTCGTTGTTGCCTTTGCTGGCCATGTATCCGTATCTGGCCGGGCATCGGTTCGTCATCGTGATTTTCTTGGGTGGTACCACAGTCCCCGCTCGTCCCCCTCTCCCTTTGGCTAAGGTCCCCCCCTTCCACTGGCATTTTCGCTGTGGCATGCCTTTTGTTTGTACTTTGTCGATCGATCGTCTGCGCTTTTGTTTGTTTCTCCGGGGGAATTTCGCCTTAACTTTGGCTTTAACTAGACAACCAGTGGCGTTGTTGCCCTCGCTGGCAGTGGACTGCACCCGGCGCTCTGTCAATGGGCATTAAAGACATCCCATAACAGCTTACTTCCCTGGAATCGAATCGCGAGCCTCTGCTAACCATGCTGGGTTTTCGGTCCTTGGGTTGGTTTAACTCGAGACTCATTCAAGTCCACAGACTGACAAATCAATTTGGTGCCAAGGACTCAAAGACTCAAGTACAAAATCGCCTTACAAATGAGTTTGATCAAGTTAAAGCCCATTAATCTTCGGGATCAATTGAGGGATCATTAATCTCACTGAGTAGGTTGAATTCATAGAAAGAATTTTTGTACAATTAAAGATTACATGGCATTATCTCCAGAAGTTAAATTATGAATTATGGGCTCTTTAAACTGTAAGGTTTTTTTCATAACAAAACTGGGGAATCCCAGGAGGCATTCGTTATCTTTGAACCTAGATAAGTTCGCGCTCTCAGATTGTCGTGGAACCCAGTTTCTATTTTTAAGTCCTGCACACAATCTAAGATCACCTTTTAGTCAAGTAAACAATTTTAATTAACACATTTAATCTCTTATTAGCAACTCTATCTACCATTAAATGTTGCACATTATAGACAATATCAATGTCATCGCTCCGCAATGAGTTCAGTCCTCGGGGCTCAGCATTCCAATCGTTCCGACATAGATATAGAAATATTCAGACAGTCAGACGGACGGACAATTAATGCGCCACTACAAATCTCATTTTCCATAAATAAGCACGATTTATGACAGGCCAGCGGCGGCGGGGCATCGAAATAAATATTATTACATATTATTATCATTATCGCAAACGAACCAAAAAGCGCTGTTGTGAAAAAAAAAGAAAACAATTGTCAATCACACGAAATTATCAGTGTTATTATTAAGGATGAGAGGTGCCGGAGCGTTTGGCACGCAATGCAAACAAAAGGCCAACTGCAGTCGTCGGATCACAATAAACCATTAAAGAAAATTAAGATATATCAATCCGGCCCCTACGATATCCACATGGGAGAGGCAGACGGACAGACATACGAACAAATAATTCACACCGTTCTGAAGCAAATTATGGCATATAGCCACACAGTATTTTCCTTTCCTCCGATAACCGCACGTCACACCGAAGATAACCCGCATAGATATCGCCCCGGAGTTTCCCGAGTCCGAAATACCAAACAAAAAAAAAAAGAGAACAATATTGAAATTTATTACCCACGTAAATTGACAGGAGGGCTGCGAAGGGTGCCTTAATATACACTCGCATATAGAACGTGGGTTCCATAAACAGAAAACTAACTATAACTGTATATGACTTCGGCTACCGCATAATTGAGCTTGTAAATAACGGGAATGGTTCACATGTGAAGGTACTACATATATTCACTTAGCTTTTGCTCCACAAATTACTTAGCC